TGTTGAAGGATCATTTATCTTTTCACATGGAGATGGCAGTTGTTGGGTTGATTCATAAAACTGGATTCATAAAATTGGAAATCTTACAAATGAGGAGAAACTTGACTAACTTATTCATTTTAAAAGCATTGCATTGTCTTGGTTTTCGAGTTGTTAACGTTGTTGACATTCTGTCAGTCTTCAATATTTATATGTGTTACTAGCCTGCGTTCTGTAAGTCAGCCTTGCCAGATATATGGTGCCTTAGTCTTCATTCCAGGGTTAGCTTGGACCTGTTGTCCAACTATATCTCCTACTTTGCAGATCTGCTTTGCTCCCTGGCCATTAACAATATAAGTACAGATCATGCAGTTTTGATATTGATGCAACTGCACGTTAGAAACCATCCATGATATTCTAGTTGTTGGGGTTGGCTCAGAACATTCCCATGTATTGTTATATATATATGTATATACTGTTCAGTCCATTTCAGACCATTCTAAATTTGCATCAATGAAAACTGTTTCCAAATAAAAGCTGTAAACCATCCCAGTACAAAACTAAACTCATTTGTATATTAAACCGTACGAACAGTTTAATGGGAGTTGCAACTTTTTGAAGGAGATAGAAATATATAATGCTAACTTATATTGAACATAAATTAATTGCTTCCTAAAATATTTTATGATACTTAGCTGTATTAGATCTCTAACCTTGAATGTATTGTTCCTCATCTGTATGTTTTCAGTCTGTATTCTTTTGACTTTCAGTTCACAACTGATATTGTCATTTATAAATTTATACCTGTACTGTATGATAACTTCCACATCTGAAACATCTGACTTATTTGTTTTAAATTGCTAATTTTGTGTTTTTCTATTTATTTTACCCTCCATTTCAAATTTAGATTTGCGTAGTGCCAGTCCTCCAGCTGTATGGTTAATAAGTGCGCTGAAGACTCCCTTCATTGCTTTTGTTGGCTGATGTGCAAATTAGTCAGCAATAGACATACGAGCGAGGATGATAGACTGGACATTTTCTGTTTGTTTTCTCGTCATGTCTTTCTCTTCCTTCTTTATTTACCTTCTAGCTTATTTCTAGGCTTTCTCCAGCAACATAGCCTCTCTGTTTCTGTCCCTACTTCTCCCTTTCTCTTTTTTCCCCAGCCTTTGCTGTTCCTTCCCTTTTTCATTATCCCATACACCAGATCCTTTTCATGTAAGCTCTGGTCCCTGCTAGCCTGCTCCTCTTTTTGTCATATCCCCTCTTTCATTTTTTTCCCCCTCCCTCTCTTCCCCCTTTACAAAGACAAAGAACAAATGAAAAATAAGCGAAAGACACCAAGGGATTAATGTAATCAAGAACAGTTGCTTGACAGAAATTTTAGTTTCTTTTGAGAGCAATGCCAGGAAGATTAACTGAATATTTTTGTAATGTACTAAATTAACCATTTTCATTTTATTTTTAAATACAGCCCTAGGACTAGAGACGTGTATTTCAGACTGTAATAGGTAGCCTGAGCAAAGATCTTACCTATGCTTCTATTGTAAATCATATTTTTGTTTCTTACTATTGACGAGATATTTGCATGTAAATGAATTATTTGTGAATGCAGTAGGCAGTAAGTTATTGCAGAATCAAACACAAATCAAATGTTTTCTTAATTCACAAGTTTATTGTGTGAATTGCAAATTGAGATTATTTATTTACTTAGTGTGCAGCATGGAAAAGTGCTGAACGTTTTCATAATTTACTAGACAGTATTCTATTTAAATTAATAATATCTCACATTCATTCATAAATTCAGTGAACATTGTTAAGAGTAATTTATTGCTGCTCAACTGCATCTCATGTTGCAAGTGCTGCTTTCTTATTAACTATATTCTTGATAAGTAAACCCTTGATCTGAGGAGTCAGTCTAGTGAACCTCTTTTAAATTGCCTCCAATGCTTAGGATATCCTTTCTTAAGTGCGGGGACTGAAACTGTACGTAGTATTCCAGTTGTGGACTCATCAACACCTTGTACTGTTCTAAACTCCAACCCCTTAGCAATATAGGCCAAAATTCCATTTACCTCCTTAATTCCTTGCTGCACCTCCATGTTAACATATTGTGTTTCATGCACAAGAACACTTATCCCTCTACAGAGTGGGCTGTCTCTCCATTTAAATAATAGCTTGCCTGGTGATTCTTCCTGCCAAAGTGCATCACCTCACATATTCCTATATTAAACCCCATCCTATCTGTATCCCTACGCAGGTTCCTTATGTCCTCATCACAACTTGCGCTCCCACCTATTTTTACATCATTAGCAAGCTTGAATACATTACACACTTTTCCCCTCCTCCAAGTCATTAATATAGATGAGAAATAATTGAGGCCAGGGATTGATACTTGTAGCACTCCACTGCTTATGTCTTTCAAACCTGAAAAGATCTACTGATCCTGACTGTCTTCTATTTGTTGACTAACCCTCAATCTGTGGTCCTAAATTACTTCAAATACCACGAGTTCCAGTCTTGTGTAATAGCCTTTTACATGGCTATTACACAAGATTGTTTAATGCCTGTCTGAAAATTCAAATGTCCGATATCTGCTGGCTTATGAGTTTTGGTTGCTGTATCTTCAAAGAACTCTGGCAAATTTGTCAAACATGATTTCCTTTTCACAAAACCATGTTTACCCTTACCAATTGCCTTGCAATTTTTTTTCTTCATTTTGGACTCTACCGTTTTCCCATGACAAGTGTTAGGCTAACTGGCATGTAGTTTCCTGCTTTCTGTCTCCTTCCTTTCTTGAACAGGAGCATCACATGAAGTTTCCTAATCTGAAGGAACCTTGTCAGAATCCAATGGGTTCTGGAGTATTTCAATACATGCCTCCATTATTTCTTGCAGCCACTTTATAAACCTTGGATGCGGACGTTCAGGTCTTGGCGACTTGCCTGCCTTTATTCCCATTAGTTTGTCAAAATCTTTATCTCTCATATTAGGGATTGTTACAAGATCTTTCCTCCCATTAGCACCTTGTTTATCTTTTTTTTGGGATGTTTATAGTGTCCTTCAATGTGAAGACCAACGCAAAATATTGGTTTAAATCATCTGCCATTTCTCTGTTCACTGTTACCAATTCCCCACTTGCATCTTCCAAGGTTCTCACACGTGGAGAGATGTTTCCATTAGTAAGAGAGACTCTATCCTGAGGGTACAGTCTTGGAGTGAAGGGACAACCCTTAGAACTGAGATAAGGAGGAATTTCTTCAGCCAAAGGGTGTTATTCCATGGAACACATTGCCTCAGAGGGCTGTGGAGGCCAAGTTGTTGATCCCTTTACTAATCAAAAACCTATCTATCCCTGTCTTAAAGACACTCAAAGGTTACAAGGAGAAAACAGGAGAATGGCATTGAGAAACATGTCAGCAATGATTGAATGGCAGAGCAGACTTGATGGGCTGAATGACCTAACTCTGTGCCAGCATCTTATGATCTTGTCATCTAACTTAGGCATTCTCTTCCTTCTTATTTCCCTATTCCATTCAAACGGAGAGGTTACGGGCCAAATGCTGGTAAATATGACTAGGTGTGACTGGGGTGTCTAGTTAGCACAGACGAATTGGACAAAAAGGTTTCCGTGCTGTATGACTTTTTGACTCTATGATCTGAGATAGGATTTCTCAACTTCCAATTTCCCTTGAGCATTTATCTTTAGAGACCTCTAATGCTACAAATGCATCCCTCTTTGACACTTGCTTCTGTCTTTGGTCCTGACAGCAGAAATCCTGCTGGTCATTTGTTTGTATGTACAGTGATTTCTATAGCCAGGGTTATCTTGCATTTGTGGTGGTTTAGTTCTGAGAGGTGAACAGAAAGAAAATCTAGCCAAAATTTTAATATCCACAATCTGTTATCTTTAAGGGAAATTGCCTCATGCTATTTCATTGGTCCCTGTGAAAAATTGAGGGGGGTGAAAATAGTTCATTTGTATTTTGCAACACCAGTAATTCAGTACATTTATACATTTTATCTGGAAAAGATCAGCTGTTTCTAGTGGCAACTTGAAGTGCCATAAATAATTATCAGTAAAAGCAGCTCATTGAAGTCCCTTAAAAGAATTTTGCTTCTTTATACATTGCAAGTTTTAATAAGAAATGGTTGTGTATTGGTAATATAACCGGGCTGCTTGTTCAGAAGCCCCTGATAATGCTTTATGGGCTTGAGTTCAAGTCCTGCCACAGCAACTGGTAGATTTTAGATTACATTAATAATATCTGGAATAGAGAGATAATTCCACGGTCACTATTAGACTATTGTTGATTGTTGTCAAAATGCATTTGCTTGACTAATGTCCTTTAGGGAAGGAAATCTGCTGTCCTTATCTGATTTGGCCCAGAGCAATGTGGTTGACTCTTAACCACCCTCTGAAATGGCCTATTAAGCAGCTCATTTCAAGGGCATTTAGGGACAGGCATAAATACTGGCTTTGCCAACGAAGGTTGGTAAGTTCAATTGAATAAATTGTAATTCTTCAAAATTAATAAAAATTGTGATTTTGATTGAGTTTTATCCCATTTTTATATCCAACATTAATGTTTCATATTTCAAGTTGACACTTTAGGAATGACCTAACTTGTTCAAGTTGGACAATGTGAAGATAATTTTCTGTATCTGATACATTGTACAGTTATTGGGAAAGATATCAAATAATATACACTTGTACTTGAATAGCTTCCACCATTGTATACACTTGCTTTCAAATTCAGACACAACAGCCTGATATGGTACCATGATTTCAAATTATAGACCCATTAGTAGCATGATGTAATGCATTTTTTGAGGTCTTACAAATGAATCACCTGACATATGGTTAGAAACTATAATCGCTTAGATTTGATATGCTAGTATTTTGTTTGTAAATTATGCCTATATCCCATTATTAAATACTTTAACTGTTCTGAATTTGCTTGATTCACAAGTAAAAGAATAAATGTCACTAAATTACTCTTTTTTTAAACTTTATATAGAAATACAAACCTGGTCGATGTGATGATATATTGAAGTGGAAACCTCCAAGCCAAAATTCTGTTGACTTCCGTTTGAAAATAACTAAATTTGGAGGAGAAGGGTAAGTAATCTCTAGAAAAATGTATTTCAGTTCCTTTGATCTGATTTTCTGAAAGCATGATGTGAAATATTGTCTCTTAAACCAGTGGGTGGACTGCTTGTGCTGTAACTCGTTTTTTTCATGATATTCATAAGCACATAGTTTTCAAGCATTACATTTGGAATGATTGCGCAATGGAGACGAAAGTATTTGTTTCTGTTGTTTGAAAGACTGAAACTATAAGTAAATTAATTAATTTGTGAAAACTGCAAATGTACATGTTGAGTTGAGATGCAACTACAATACCGAGCCTCAGGCTTCTCTTTCTATTGAGGTTCTTGTTGAAAATTAAGACTTTGACCTTCACGTTATATGGCTCTTCCCCATGTCCGAATTTAAATCTTATCATTATTTAAACAACACAACCATTAAAATGTCAAAAACCTGTAGTCATTTGCAATGCATCAAGTAAATACCTAATTCACACTATGTTTAAAGTCATACCTACATATTTTAAGATATTTAAGTTTTTTTGGTTTTGCCTTGAAGACCTGTGCAATCAAATACACCTGAAGTTTGTGTAATCAAATTTTGGTAGCATGTTTGTGGCAGCATTGTACATTGTGCCATTGTATCCGCTGATGCCTTGAAACTTCTACATGAGCTCTAATTCTATAAAAGTATCTATCATATTCCAAATAATCACTCATTAAATACAAGAGTAGAAGCAGACCATTTGGCCCAATTGCTCCATACTAGTGTTTTGATGCACACGAGCCTACTCCCACACATCTTCTAATTTCATTAACAATTCCTGTTCTTTTCATCCTGATGATTATAGAACTGGTCTTAAATTCATCTGGGCTCGTCAGCTCAATTACTCCTTGTAGTAGTGAGTTGCACATCCTAGCCACTCTCTGACTAAGATTTTTCTCCTGAATTTACTGATGGTAACAGCCTTTTTTTTTTTTACTTCCTTGCTTGAGTCCATCAAGTCCAGACAACTTCTCTACGTCTTTCACAATCCTTGACATCTCTCTCAGATTAGCTCCTATACTGTTTAATCTTTCCTCACTGGCATAATGTTTTGGTATTAGCGTCGTCCTTGTAAATAAAGTAGGTATTTATCAAGCATACTCTGACATGGACTTCAATCCTGTGTTAAATATTTGTTTAACAGTAGTTTTACAGTTATCCATTTTGAATAAAATTGACTTTTGACTTCTCAGGGCTGATTTTGGTCAGGAATATCACTATTGCTGAGTCATCTGAAGTTACACTCCTAAGTGAATATTCTGTTTATTTCCTCCCATTCTTTTCTGACCTTGAAACAACAGTTAGATGCTATTGCCACTGTTGACTTCCAATAACTGCTATTGGCTTTCTATCTATTTTGACCATTTTCCCACAAAGTAACTGAGTAGTGGGCTTAAAAGGACAGGCACAATTTCCAGTTGACCATTGTGACTGTGCTGAAAACCCCAGTCAATATGTGCATCATGTCATATGAGATTAGCTTGCGCATATGATTTCTTTTGACTATAACTAGGCAATTATATTTGAATAATGTTTGAGAGGGTAGGTTGCAAAATTATATTGTGGCTCAGAAACAGTACTAACTACAAAATATGGTGGTTTCTTTTAGCCGAAATTATATCTTGTGTGCTTTTAAAACTGTGTACAAGGATACATTTCCTGCAACACAGCATCCCAAGCAACCCTGTATATTATGTGTAACAAAAACAGAAATTGTTTGAGAACCTCAGCAGGCCTGGCAGCTTCTGTGGAGAAGAAAGCAAATTTAGTGTTTCAAGACCAGTGATGCTTCTACAGAACTTTTTGTTTTGTTTATAAAGAACTAATAAATTTAATTGGCTCAAAAAAAAATTTACTTGCAAAGCAAAGATGTCATCCATACATTGCATACAGTTTAAAAGCATGTTACAATAAAGTAACACATCCTAACCACAGGTTATGTTGCTGTCTTGGAACATACTTCTTGGTGTATTATTCAAATGTGAATATAAACATTTTTGACGAATGGGATACATGATATACATCAAATGGCAGCTTTTGTTATTCAGTTATAAAGGTCAAGTCTTACCAGTCCGCAGGGCTGCTCAGTCACCAGAGAGAGATGACTGGTGGTTTAACTTGAGGGTTGCCATGTCTCAGGCAAAGGGAAGAGGTTGAGAATGAGAGTCCTTCATGGTAACCTCAACTGGTGCTGGAATTGAACCCACACTGTTGGCATTACTCTCATTACAAATGCAACATCCAGCCAACTGAACTAACCAACACTCTTACTTCATTATAGAGCCATGGTCACCAACATGTAGATCGCAGTCAACTAGTCGATCGCAGAGTGTCTGTCTGTCAATTCTCCTGCCTGTCTGTGTTCTATTGCAGCCTGCTTCTCTGTCAGCTAATCTTATCGTTTGTCCACGTTTCCTCACCGTGTACACATCACTTGGCATGCTGCTACTTGATTTCCATTTTCTAGAAGCTACATGCCTAGAGAAGAGTGCATGCTGTTAACAGACTTTGCCAGCTTGTTGCATTGTGTTCCAGTTTGGTCCTGTCAGGCTATCATTGCAGGATAACAAGTTTTGTGAAGGCAGTGCAAACAAGTTAATAAGAAATGTACTAGTAAGTGATGTACGAAGCTAGAATAATACAGTACTGGAAAGATGGGTGACAATTCAGCCCATCGTGTCCATGCTGTCTAATAAAGAGTGGTACCACTCCTCTGCCTGGTCTCTGTAGACCTGCAGTCTTTTTCTTTCGGCTGCTAATTTAATCAATCTGTGCAAGATGAAGAAAAGTTACAAGGAATTCTGCCATGCCACACATCCAGTAACATAGCAATACAAGATGATCAGCTCATCACAACCACAGAAGTGACCTTTTGTGCCCCCATACTTGAAAACAGCCAGCAACATTCTAGATGTTCCAGACGTGCAGAACCAGAGGTCTACCCGGAGTGTGACCAGTGACAGAGGGGTGTCACGAACGACAAGATGAAGCAATAATGACAAGTGATGAACCTGTACCATCTAAAAAGAAACCAAAAACATGGGATGGGAAACCCGATTTCTGTTAAGAATTGTAAAAGGGAAGGGCAAAGTATATTGATAAGTAAAAGGCCACCATACAATAATCCACAGTAAATTCAGGGATAGGTTTTCCCTAAACAGTATGCTTCAGGTAAAGAAGCTTGATGAGCTGAAGACCATTTTGAAAGCTCAATGGTCATCTTTTTCTAAACTAGCAGCAAAAGGTAAGACCTGCACTGAAGCATCATTTTGCATTTGCCATCTTCTGGAAAAATTCAATAAATTATTTGCAGATGGTAAATTAATTGAAGAAGCAATGAAAGTGGCCATTATCACCTTAATGTGTATGTAACATGCAAATATTTCTACTTTAAAATACAAATATGGGACTGTAACCCATTGTGAAATGTTTCTAAAATCAGGTTGACAGTTTGCTATTATTGGTACATGGTTGCATATCTGGTTGTTTGGTTTTTTGTATGTCACTAAAAATACCTCTGTCAGATTGTTAAATAATTGTTAAAATAAAACAAGAATTTTATATGAAGTTGTTATTGCATCAGGCACAATACCTAAATGTCATTTAGATATTAAAATATTTTACTGGGGACTGAAATAATTTATGGGCTGAATCTTGCATTTTTTGGCTAAGTGTCAGTTTTTTTTGAATTTTTTGAAAGCCGAGTAAGATGAAACTTGCCTCATTGACCATCTACCCCACCCCAGTGCTGCCCCCTTGCCCAATTCTTGTCTCATCTTGCAACTTGCATTCCTGGAAGAACTTGCTACTCATCCATTGAAAAACCAACGTCTGTCGCTGTGTACCTGGCTGAGTCCTGACATTTTGAAGTTGCCCTGCTTGGTGACTGACATTTAGCCACAGGATGCCAGAGAAGGGTAAGATGCTGCTGTGATTCTCCACCAGGGACTGGGAGGATCTGTTCAACAGAATGGTGCAGAGGTGGGCCATCCTTTTCCCAGGGGCCCAGCAGAGAAGGCCCCACCACCAGACCTGGCAGCTTGCTCCAAAGTTGTCACCAGGTCAGTGCAGTCTACATAGTCTGGAAGAACAGTTGGCAGTGGCAAAACAAAATTAATGACCAAAGAGCGCATACTCTGCTACCTCAGTCTCTCTACCTCTACCACTGCACCTACTCCCACCCAAGGCTCATGTTTTGCCACTCTGACTATGGCCCACAATGTTTTTCTTCACTTTCTCCCTTTTCCCTTAAACCTCCCCAACCACTAACCCTGCCAGGCCTCCTCAATTGTCTGGAACATCTCACCACTTGTCTCTCACCTGCACCAGCATTAGCAGTCATGTTGCCCACTTTCATCACACTCAGAGGCCCTCCCTTGCTCTCATTCCAGGAGAAGGCAGCCCCCAAAAGGGCAGGAAAGGCTCCCAACATCAAGCTTCTCAGCCACTGTGAGAAGACAATCCTGTCCCTCACTGCTGAAGACTAGGGCCATTTCTGCATGGCTGCCAAGATACCCATATCCCACAAACTGAGTAAGCACTATTCTTTGTTCCACTGCAACTCTCGCCTTAAATCCACTGTCAATGTCATGATGTCTTCTCTCCCGTATGTCTCGCAGATACCAGTGGGATGCTGGCAACCCCAGTGGAGAAGCCACCTCCTCGGCCTCTGAGAATTGAGAGGACTGAGATCTCAGAGGAAGCATAGCTGGCTCCTGCATCCCCACAGCTCTCATACTGACATGTCAGGGGGGACTTTAGGCTTAGACAGTGTGAGAGCACGATCTGGTGAGCACCTCATTATGACAGCTCCACCACTGGCCCAAAAAGAAACACCCTAAAGCATTGGCACTTGGAGGGCTTCCAGTCACAAGACACTTGGTCATCTCTAGGCAGGAAAGGCTGCTGTGGTTTTGCAATCAGGGACTTAATCCATATGTACAGGGAGGAGCAGGAGTGACAGACAGCCATGTGGGATGAAACAG